AACAAATAAATGCCATCTATCCAATGCATGGATGGAATACATAAAAAATTCAATTGAAGTATATCTTATGATTAATAATCATTACCAATAAATTAGATTATTACATACTATACACTATCAAACCAAATGTTTCCAAATCTTTGAGACCTGAACTATTCTGAGGAAATAATTTCCTGAGGTTAAATAATGGCAATTGCATAGCTATAGATCAAAATCATTTTGTTAAATAAAATTTAAATCAAAATAATTTGTTAAAATTAAAATTGAAATTTTATATTTTTACCATTTAATAATTTTTCACAATCCTCATTTAATTTTTTTCATCATGATTTTCAGTATAACAGTTACTCTTTGCGGAAAATTGATTAAAATTGATAAATAATTTATTACTGTCATCATGGTCAGTATATATAATAAATGAAAGAACAGCTTTAATATCAATAGATGATTCTAATGCTTCGACAATAAAGAGTTTTAGCGTTCTTTTTTTTCTTTGTTTGCTATTTTAAAACTTCAAAATTAAATTTACAAAAATCGTTCGTAAAATGAAAAAATCAAATTATTTTCGACTCTGAAGTTAACTACGCGTAATAGTAATGCACAATAATAAAAGAATAGTAAAAGAAGAGACATTTTTATTTTGAAAAAGAATACACGGAAAAAAACATGTAGTTTCATAATAATAATAATATGAGTAAAATTTCAAATTATACATTTGTAAACTTCCCATGATAATTATCATTGCAATATACATATAATAGTGATAATTCTTTATTCATCTCCAGGACACACATTTTTACATAATTTGGAACATTTGATGGTCCTATTTTATCATTATAATTCATTATTGCTACTTGTATCAAGCGGTTTTACTTACGTCAAGCGCTTTTATTTACGTCGTATGTTTCAATTACGTAAGTGGTTTTACTTATGTCAAGGGCTTTTACTTTAGTCAAATCGTCAAAATGACCCTGGTGAGAAACTACCTTTGGTCAATACTTTAGTTACGTCAATGACTAAAATCAAAAGTTTCGTCATACATCATATAAAAAATATCATGAAATTAAAGAGCGACATGACATAATTCGATCATAAAATTTGTGTGCCAGACCTATAAATTTAACGAGCTTTGATTGTAATAGCGGCTGTAAAAACTTCATTTTTCTAAAATAATAAAAAAAAACTTTGACCAAATTTTTTTTCCAAGTATCTTTCACTCCAAAAAAAATTTGAAACCGAAGATCAACGTGACAATTCTTGATATTCTAGAACAATAGTATCTAATGACCCCGGGGTCCTAGTATCTCATACTATTAAAAATATATTGATGGTGAAGGTCACCCAAAATTAGTTAACGGCAAGTCTGCTGAACAAATGAAAACAAATTAATGAAAAAACAAATAGTAATGTTCCAACTAAGACTATTTATTAGAAGAACTTTACAATGAATTAAATATTTGTTCTCACACAGAGTCCGCTTTTAAATGATCAACAAAGAATCAATCAATGAAATTAGACGGTGTCTTGAGAGAAGGATTTGGATGGTTATAAATTGGAAATCTGTCATTTGGAGTGATGAAAGTAGATTTACAATCTATAAAAGTGATGGACCAGGACGTGTTTGAAGAACTAGTTGCAAATAATCGCGGCATATAAAAATTTAATTGCGGTTCCCTTAAACATGACTTCACCCAACTGTAAATTTTGAGATGGGGCTTGATGATGTGATGTTGTTTTTTCAGTGAAGGATTTAGGCCCAAATGGCTTATGGTATACACAAATACTAGAAACAATTTGTTACCTTTAATCGAAAAAGGCTTTAATAGGAAGGGTATTTCCATCAAAATGATGACAATTCCCAGAAAAGTTGTAAAAAATTGATTTTTTACAAATGAAACCAACGTTTTGTCTAATTAGCCAAGCCAGTCTCCTGACTTAAAATATTAACGAGTTGGAGTCCGCATCACAGGAAAAATTCCATGAGATGTTCCTATTAAGAGGAGAATAGAACAAAATATTGATTTTATATATATATCCTTCCTTATCAGATGTTGGGAAAAAAATCGGTAAAGTTTTTGTTTTGTTTTTAATTATTATTTATTAGAGAAATGAGGTTTTACACATATATCCACAAGAACCTAAGCTACAAAATGGCTTTATAATTATTATGTATGTGTGCGTGACATCAATTAATATAAGAAGCACATATATATAGAAATATTCACTTCCAAAATTGATGAATGGTGACTGATTTAATTATTTGCCCTCGATATTATTATTATTACAATTAAAATTATCACATTACTTAATTGTAGAAATTATTGGAGATGAAGATGATGATGTTAGTCTGAACAATTGTGGAGGAGTTGGCATCGTAAACATTATGGGCATTGAGAGAATTTAGATATTTGAGGAGATGATAATATTGAGAAGTGGAAAAAATACAAAGGTTGTATGATGACTACATTTCTTTTTTTTTTGGTCGATGAGCATAATTGGGATAAATAGATAGATTCATTAGCCATTGAGCAAATATTGAATAAATATGCCTAATTTCAGCATTAGAATTCAATTCATTGGACGCAACTTTTTAACATAATCAAGTCTAGATTCACACACTAGTCCTATTTACATTTTTAATCTTGCTTGTAAATTTCTATATATGATAAATCAAAAATGTGTTTTGTGGTATTTTAATAAAGTGAAGTATTCTAGATGAGGTTCTTCTAGAATATGGTAAAGCAATTCTTTAATTGGTGATGAAGTATTTTGTAAAGTTTAGTATAAAATCGAAGAAACTAGCCGATCAAGTCCGAAGCACATAATTCAATGTTGGTGAAGGGACTAAAAGAGATGGAGGAGTTGGCAGATATAGAAGAAGAAATAGAGTTGTTATTAGTACTAAAAGACATCTTTTTGTAACAATGCGAAAGAAAAAGCTTTTTCAGCAAAATTATATACCTACTTTTTTGTTATTAAATTCACATGACATTTATTTATGTTTCACACATAAACTTGACCAATTGTTACGAGCATTAATTTTTAGAAATTTATTCTGTTCTTAAGTAATGGCTGTTAGTATAACTTTTTTAAATTTGATTTCGTAGATTCTATTAAATTTTGTTAGGTTAAAAGACAATTGTCCTTTCCATATATAATTTCAAAATAGGGTTTGTTTAATTTTAGTGCACCTGTTGATATAGATATTCGTTTCAATGGAGAAGAAAATAGGAAATTAGTAGAAGTTAAAGTTGATAAAGATAGGCGTGAAAAGTTCCCTTTATACTTTGATGGCGAGACTGTTGCTGGTAAAGTAAGTAATGGAAGTTAATTCAATTTTTAAACAAAACAAGCCAGCTAAATTAGTTTTATGCTATTTTACTTTTATATAGATAACGATTAGACCAAGAGATGGTAAAAAGATTGAACATCAAGGAATCAAAATTGAATTTGTTGGGAATATTGGTATTTGATATACACATATAAATATTAATAACATACAACTATTTTTTTTATATTTTTAAAATAAATCATTTTTACTAAAATAACAATAATAACATCTTTGATCATTAATCTATTTAGAACTTTTTTATGACCGTGGTAATCATTATGAGTTCACTTCATTAGTCCAAGAATTAGCGGTACCAGGTGAATTGAGACATCCGCAACCTTATGAATTTGAATTCAAAAATGTCGAAAAACAATATGAAAGCTATCATGGAATAAATGTTAAATTGAGATATTTTGTAAGAGTTACAATTTCAAGACGTTTAACAGATATTGTGAATGAAAAAGATATATGGGTTTATTCATATCGTATGCCACCAGACAGCAATAGTTCTATTAAAATGGAAGTTGGTATCGAGGATTGTTTACACATAGAATTTGAATATAATAAATCAAGGTAAATCAAATAAATTTCATAACCAATATATATTGTTTGTGATTGGTATGATATTAATTTTTAGCGCTTAATCAAAGATACCATCTTAAAGATGTGATTGTTGGAAAAATTTATTTCTTACTTGTGCGTATAAAAATTAAACACATGGAATTATCGATTATTCGTAGAGAAACAACTGGTGCAGGTAAATGTTCTTGATTTATAATTAGTTCTATATAATTGGATTCTATGTTATAATAATATATTTTATTGTTATTAAAAGCTCCAAATCAATATAATGAAAGTGAGACAATTACAAAATTTGAAATCATGGATGGTGCACCAGTTAGAGGAGAGACTATTCCTATTCGTTTATTTCTGGGAGGTTTTGAATTAACTCCAACTTTTCGTGACGTGAATAAAAAATTTTCTACTCGTTATTATTTAAATCTTGTACTTGTTGATGAAGAAAATAGAAGGTATTTTAAACAACAAGAAATCACGATTTATAGAAGAAAAGGTATGAAGTAGCTTTAATATTAATAAATAAAGTGAAATAAATATAAAATGGATACTAATATTTCCTTTTTTTTTTTTTGTTTCTATAGACGATGGACTTTCACCAAATGATCCTAAATAAATTATTAGAATAATTTTTTCTATAATGTAAATTTATTTATTATCAATATCATTTTAATAACTGAATTAAAATTTGTATAATATTTATCTTTAAATGATCTCCTTTGATCAACTATTTCTTAAATCACACCACATATTATTATTAATAAAGAAAAAATCTTTAATTTTTTTTTTAAATAAGATGAAAGGGGAATCCTTTAAATATGTCAAATCAGGATTTTTTAAAGATCTGTAATTTCCATATTAATACGTAAACTGGATAAGTCGGACGCAGCAATCAATTGTTTAAAGTAATTGATAATATAGATAATATAAATAATCCGATGTGCATATAGTTGGTTGATGCATCAAATTTAGTCGTGGTTACAAATTTCCCATACCCGTCGTTATATTTTTTTTTAAAAAAAAGGACAAAAAAAAATGTACTACTGATATTTAAAAACGCCTAATCTTTAGCTTGATTATAAAATTAGTAAATATGGAAAAACTTACAACATCTCCAAAACAAATTACAGAAGCAAACCGTGTCACCTTCGTTTTTCCTCCCAAAAAATCTTCGGAAGAATCAAGTCGGATTCCTTCTCTAATATCAGTTTCTCCTGCTAATTTCACTTTAAAACAACCACATTATCATGCTCTTCATCGTCCTTCACGGCGTGAAAAATTAGTTGTTGAGCTTGATAATTGTGCTATCGGTAGTGTCTGGAAAATAGTGGATGCTTTCCTCAACATCTTATTATGTATAATTTATATATCATACACTGCTTATATCAGAAAATCTTTGCCGCCGGTGAATGTGTGCTTGGAAGTAATAATATCATTACTATTAATAATAGAATATGTTCCAAAATTTTATATTTATGAATTTGATTCATGGAAGTCACTTTTCACCAGACCTTTGCCACTTCTAACAATCCTAACAATCCTTCCTACTGCCGCCACTGCTCTTGATCCTGTGTTCGAAGAAACTCGTTACATTGTATTTTTTTACCCTTTTCGATTTATTCGATGTTTTTTATCTGTATATGATTGTTTAGTTAGAAGTGAAAAATCTATCATCAAAATTGGTCAAGTTACTAGTAAAGTATTAATCTTTTTGACATCCATTCTTTTTCTTATATTGACCGGATCGTCCTTGTTACATGGTGTTGAATATGCCTATATGGTAAGCAAAATATCTAGTATACATTTATATTTAATTATTATTTATCAATTATTATTTTCATATTTATCTATTTATGGCTGTTTGATTTATATATTTATATTTGTAGGCTGTTGATGTTACATTCTTGGATGGTAATAATTCATGTAATCTTTTTATAATTTACTTAAAATTTTTATTAATCTGGTAATTTTATTGATAAATAGCTGTTTTCTTTACAACTATTATGTTGGGCACTGTTGGTTATCTTAGTGAAATAGTACCTGATAATGCCTTCCCTAGAGTTCTTCTTTTGGTGATGTTTACAACAGGTCTTATATTTATTCCGGTAATTAGTCAAATCAATTGTATTTTCTTTTTATAAAAAACCAACCAATTATACATGAATCGATCATTTATTTATCAATTTCTCATCTAGTATTCTATATCTGAATTGATTGCATTAATACGCTCAAAATCTATTTATGATAAATCATTCAAAACAATTTCACAACAACCCCATGTCATCATCATTACTCCAACAATAGAACTACCCTCATTAAAGCATTTTTTAAAGGAATTTTATTCATTAGCACATGGCCTTGAAACTGTCAACACAAAAGTATTACATCAAGAGTTTTTTGGAGTTCTAAACAAAACTTTAAATTACATTTGCTTGTTTGCTTGTTATTTATATATTTATATCTTTTATCAATAATTTTATTTAGGTGGTAATTTTAAATCCTACAGAACCAAATGATCGTTTAAAGTCATTTTTATTGGATCCTTTATATGCACATCGTGTACAATACATTAGGGGTAGTTCACTCGAGTCACGTAGCTTAAAAAAAGCAAATGCAAAAAAAGCCTCTGCATATTTTATTTTAGCCAAAAAATATACACAACAAAGCGATACTATTGACGCAGAAAATGTTTTAAAAGCAATGGTAAATAAACATTTTTTTTTTTTTAAAAAAAAAGGAATTCAATGTAATTATTTTCTAATAACCTAAATAATAATAGGCATTAAGTAAATACGATGAAGGTCCTAAACTTTATATTCAATGTATCCTTCCAGAAAATAAAGTTCATTTTGAAAATTTAAGTATGTTACAAAAATTTTTTTCTTTTTTTTTTTTTTTTGCTCTAAAAATATTTAATTAAATATTATTAAATAAACAAATAAACATTGTTTGTTTAGATCCTGAATTAATATTATGTATAGATGAATTAAAACTTGCCATACTTGCTCATTCATGTCTAACTCCTGGATTTTCAACACTTTTATATGGTCTTACAACCACGTTCACTTATGAATCAGCTTATGAATTAAGGGATATTAGCAAAACGTCGGTTGGTTTGGACAATGGCTTCATTGAAGATTACATTGAGGGTATTTCTCAATCCATTTACACTACAACTTTATCAAATTATTTTGCTGGTTATACATTTCCTGCTATTGCTGGTTAGTGGATTATAAATTAAATTTTTTTCATTAAAATTTTTTTTAAAAGTAGTTAATATATTATACTCATGAACCGATGAACGTATAGGTCGTTTATATGAAAGTTTAGGTGTTGTACTATTTGCCATTGGTATTCCGAAACAAAGTTCTCTATTTAGACCATCAAATAATACATATGGCCATGGTGACTGTGAGGAAGAAGATGCTAATAATTATATGGTTTTAATTAACCCTGGAGATTATATTGTAAAAGGAGATGAAGTTGGATTTATAATTGCTTGTGATGGCGCGCTGGCTGAAGGTGTTTCCAATTATGAACGACATAATTCGCATGTTCGAAACAATGAGGATTCATCTTTTGAGTCACAACAAATTTTTTCAGAAAGACATCCATTATTGTCATCTAACGCGTTAAAAAATAATGGTGGTGGTTCATATTTAGGTCTTCCTACAACTTCTGATAAAATATATCACGAGTATCCCTATAAACCAGATTTTAATACACGTCGTCAACGTGCACTTTCTACTCCTCTTGCCTTTGCAACAGATCATCACCTTGAACATCATCAACATCACAAGCAACACCACCATAATCACAGTGTAGATCCTTCTTCCTCTTCATCAAGTTCTCTTGATAATGATCACATGAACCCAATATTGGATACAATCAATGGACATATCCTCTTGTGTGATTATTCAACTGCAACTTTCCCACGTAATTTGGATTGTTTTGTTAGCCCATTACGTAAATCACACTTGGATAAGTTTAAACCAATTGTGATTCTTTCGCCAGTAAGACCTACAAAAAGTCAATGGAAAATTTTAAGTCAATTTGATCAAGTATATTTTGTTGAAGGAAATCCAATGACACGAGAAGGCCTTGAACTCGGTAGAGTCAGATTTGCAAATAAGGCTGTGAGTATCATTAATAATTTCAGTTGGCTAAGCATCTTTTAAAGCTAACAATAATTTTAAAAAAAAAAATTTTTTTTTTAAATCATTATTTATATTTTATTAAAATATCTAGGTTATATTAACTGATTCCACTAGAATTTTAAAGTAAATGAGGGGTTTTTTTTAAAAAAATTTAAGAATTTATTAAATTTAATTAATTGACCAATTTCCAATCTTTCAATTTAATTCCCTTATCCAAAAATTAACCATTAGGGATGGGGAAAAGACTGAAGACGCGCCAGCAATGTTGGTTTACTTGAACATTAAGGCAATGTCTAACGAGGGAGACATTGATGTGATTGTGGAGTTTGTACATACAAATAATATGAATTTTATATCAGAAGACACATCAGTTATAGACAAGAATATGCAAGGTAATTAATTATCTATTATTTTTATTATTTAATTTTCATTATTTAATTTTCATTATTTTTTTATATATGTATAAATACTAAATTACATTTATTTAAACAGCACATAATTCACCAGCTTTTATGGCAGGGACTTGTTTTTCTTTATCTATGTTGGATAGCATAATATGTCAATCGTTTTATCAACCACATCTAGTTGTTATCATTAATCAATTACTTTTTGGGGCTCCTCCACTTCATCTCCCTTCAGGTGCAACTTGTTCTGCACCTGCTCATTCGCACATTTTTCAAATTCCTGTGCCCGCAAGATTCATAGGTTCACAATATGGATCACTGTTTCATTTCTTATTGGGTGAGAAAAAATCTATTCCTTTGGGCCTATACCGTACTAATAAATTAAGCACACCAAATGGTAAAACCAAATACTTTAAATATGTATATACTTGCCCTAAATATAATGTGAGGTTGAGAGAAGATGATAAAGTTTTTGTGTTGAGCAAACGGATTCCATCTATATTGTAATCTATTTTTAAATTATTTCACTTAAAAAAAAAAAAAAAAAAAGTAAAAAAATATATAATTAATTAATTAATTCGACAGTAACCAACCACTAGTCTAGAAAACATTTTTGATTGGAAATTTCATCTCAAAAAATTGATGATGTGACGCGGAAAGCTGTATCTTTTCCACGTGATCATGCAAATTATTCCCAAGCAGAGATTTGTTTGATTTTAATGATAAAGATCATTACTGGTTGGTACTTTTTTTTTTGATTAACAAACTTACAATTGAGAATGCAACGTAATCCATTTGCCTTTTATTTTGGTTCAAGGCAATAGTCTATTTTATTAATATAAATAACCCACATTTTTTCATAACACCAATATAGAAATATTTCAAGTTTAACCGTGAAATTAAAAAATTGCTACGCGAATAATAATAAAATCGCATATACAAATTCCGTTTGAGAAATAAGTAGCTAAAAAGTGAAAAGCCTCTTCATATTTCTCGATGGATGCATATATATAATCAATGAAAATAATGAAAGGAAGTGGTTGTTAAATATAAATGATTTGTATATAATAAAAAATGATGATAATACTTAATGGATGAGTCTTCTCATCCACACAAACTCCATTTCAACTCTTCCGCCCCATCATCATCTAATAAAAAATAGAAAATAAAAAATAATTAAATAAGGATCAGCAATAAAAGAGCTGCATATTGTCAGAGATTGGTTTTCATGCAAAATTGATATATTCATATAATAAAAAATTTAAAGGACGCGATTTTTACTAATTAATGCTTCACCAGAATTTGAATTAACAACTTTTTTTGATTCAGTCAATTTTTTACGACTATTATAATCAATCAATCTAAATTAAAGTTCTAACTTTTACGCCAAAAAAAATTATTAAACATAAACGTTACACTTATGTTTATATTATTAGAAAAATTTAACTAGCTGATTTGTAATAAATTATTTTTTAGTGAAGAGAGCTTTGGTCCATTTATCTCAGCTTCAGCAAACACCACAACATCCTCGATCAGAATCAAAAGTGAAGATTTTTACTTCAACCGTTATATAAACCTCCCAAAGCATGTCATTCTGCAAGAAGGTGCAAAAGTGATGTTCCTTAACAACAAGTTGTTTGATTATAGAATTTGCAATTGGACAATCAGCGCGATGATCAAAATGCTGAAGTGGTCTTTCTGAAAACCCGCGATATCACAAAGGTGACTATGCAAAAAGAAACCACTTACTTTGATATCGATTGAAGTTTTGCATCAAGGCAACAATTTCCTCTGCAGAATGCCTTCGCTCTTACCGTGAGGATTGACATTACCTCGCGCAACTGTCAACATCGACGAAAATATGTTCGCACCTGGTCAAGTATACGTGGCTTGAGCAGAGGCTTTTTTGGGATTCGCTTGGGAACTTGGACTTCGACTTTGCTTGTATAAAGACAGATCAATCCGTGATTCAAGAATACGCAAGATTGAATAGCGTGGACTAGAGGGGTCTTGGCCAAATTAAAAATAGCAAAAGCAATTAATTAACATCTAACATATATGAGAATCTCGAATTTTTTGTATTTACATAACATATAAAAGTTTCACAAAAAAATGTTCCCGGTTTTCGTGTAACATTCCAAAAATGTATTTCTCTACGGCAAAACAAAAAGCATTAAGCAAACATTTAACATAGCGAAAAAAATGTCCTGGAACCTTTCAGAATTTTTGATGTAAATTTTGTGGCTGGGGAAATGTAGACATTATACAAATGGATGTCTGAAAGAATACATAACGTCAATGCACGAGGAGATGCCGTGGTGTGGAGTAAACTTGATTTAGGGAATGAATGGAGTCAGGTAATGGGGTATATGTGTAAATATCTTAATATTTAATATGAAGTTTCTAATAACTTTAATAATGATGGGAACGAAAATGAAAATGCAATTTCGAATGACAAGCAATCTTCTACAAAAATGAAAAAAAAATTTTTTTCAAAAAGATTGTATATATATATATAGAAGAGAAAATGCAATCATATCTTTTAAAGTCAATAATAAGTCCATTGTTGGACATGGAATTTGAATAAAACTTTGAAGGATTGAATATATAATCAATGAGCTTTTGGCTCAATTAGAAGCAAAAAAAGAGAGAAGTAGTTATTTTATGAGAAGTTATATATACTTTGTTTATAACTTATTTTGTTTTTCTAAATTAAATTTTATTTCTATATAAAATAGAAAAAAATTACATAACGTTATTAGTGAAGATGACAATAATAATAATATCAATAAAGGAATAACAAAAACGGTGGCCGCTGCAGAAGCATCAATAGTAATGGCAATATAGACTAGTGATGTTAGCCGGCTAAGAAATTTTTAAACGGCTTAGCCGGCTTGAGCCAATCAAATTCTATTCTCAAAAATAATAAAAAATATTCATTCATTTGTAATGCCGCCAAAAAAGAAAAAGAAAACTAATCCACAAAATAAGCAATTAATTAGTTCCAACACTCGTAGCAAAGCAAATTCTTGGTCTGGTGGGTCATTGCATAACAATATTAACAATGGGTTAAATAACAGTAGTAATATTAATAGTATTAGTAGTAGTGGTAGTAGCAACATTAATAATTGTATTAGTAGCAGTAGTAGTAATAATCGCAGCAATGATAATAATAATAATAATGATAATAATAGTATTAATAATAATGAAAAATTTGATTATGATAAGTTAAATAGCAATAGTATTTGTAGTAATAATAATATTAATAATATAAATAATAGTAAAATTAATAATAGTAGTAATATTAATAATAGTATTGATATTAAAAAAAAGAAATAGATTGAACCCAAAATGGGGGGCTTTTCAATAGAAACGGACCATGTTGTGAAAGTGATGTTTTGAGGAAATCAAAAAAAAGATACACATTTTAAAATGTTTACTAGCATTTTTGAAACTTTAAACAAAGGTATCTTGATATTTTACTATGCAAAGTGGGTATGATTTCTAAGCCAAAATCGTTCTACGTGAGGAGTTACATATAGCTATGGCATTGATTTAAAATTGTTTTTTTCACAAAATGGTCCGTTTCTATTGAAAAGCCCCCAAATAATCTTCATAATATACTGTTTTTGAGAGAAAATTATAAACTTTTTTGTAAAATTTGGGTGTTGAATTGAAAACAAAAGTAACCGTTTTGTTGTAGAAAATTAATCAACCATAAAAATTCTCGTGCCAATATTTTTTTTTTAACTATACGTTATTATCTGAGAAATATTTTAATTATAACATGCAGATTGCAAAAAATCAATCAGTTTTTCATTTCCCTGAAGGTAAAAAACAAAAAATCAGTTGTTTTTTCATTTTTCATTCGCTGAAGGCAATTTTTGTTTAAAAAAATTATTGTTACGCAAGCGGGAAATTAACAGTTCTTCATTTTTATATATAAAAATGGGTAAAAAAAAAACCAAGAGAAAAATCAAACCCAAGAAAAAACTTTTACTTGAAACACAATTTGATTGTGTGATTTGTAATCACGAGAGAAGCGTCGATGTGAAAATGTATTGTATTTTTAAAAAAGTGACTTCAAAAATCAATTGCTTAGATGTATATACATATAATCGAAATATTTTTGCATTATACTTTAGGCAAAAAGAAGCAAAAGTTGGAATTTTATCATGTAGAATATGTAATTCAGCTTTTCAAGCAACAATAAATCGTAAATATACTTCAACTTGATCAATGAGATTTTTTAAATACCATAATAATAAGAATTATTATTATCATTCTTTTCTTTAGCATTAAGTGATCCAATAGATGTATATTCTGAATGGGTCGATTATACTGAAGCAACTATGGAAAGTAGAAAAGATAATCATAATAACAACAACAATATTGATGTTAATAACAAGAAAACATCTACTCCTACTACTCCCACCACTCCTATCCCCCAAGTTTATGATTCGGATGTTATTGTTGATGAAGATGACAATGAAGATGACTATGAAATTTGATTACTTGAATTAAATATATATTTTTCAAAAGGAGGAAAAATTTTAAAAATTATTTTTTATTTTTTTATTTTTTATATAAATAGCATTAAAGAGAAATTGTAAATATTTATTAGAATTTTAAATAATTATAAAAGTAAATATTATTACCACATTACTACTATCAACATTATATTATTAGATACGAAAAATATAACTTTCAGAAATTGTGGAATATCTGACCCAACGTTGAGGAAGTGACAAATTATTGTTCTCATACACTTTTAATCGACGAATCTGAATATTTGAGCATGTGTAATTTGGGATATCAAATTCGAGACTTTTTTTTGCCCAAAAATGATCATGATTTATACAACATTAATAATAACACATTGATATAAATCATTCCATAACTTAGTAAAAAAGATCCAGTTTAAAGCTCACCTTATTGGCCCCATTTCCAATAATGACACAGGTGACAATGATTTAATACCAGTAATCTATTGTTTAACAAAATCAATTAAATAATTTTAAAAAATAATCTCATCAAGAATGTACATAATGAACACATCATTGCCAACCTTAATCTTGATTGATTGTTCAGTGCCACCTTTAAATTTAACAATAGTCCAAGTAACTTTTCTTAATTGATTATCATATTGAGCCGATTGATCAATTGATCCATCCAAATTTTCATTAGAAACACTAAAATAAAAACATATCTATGTAATATTTATTTTTTTTCCATATTTCCAAAAAGGAAAAACAATTATAATACCTTAAAGTTGCTCTTGGAACAGGTATAATAACTAAACATTTATTGACAATAAAATTATCAGGGATATCAGCTCGAACACGTATAGTAACATCGATTCTATTTGAGTCATCAGAAATATCAGAAATACTTGGGAACACTCGAAATGGTAATCCAAAATCACCAGAAACTCGATAACTATAAAATGGTATGAATGATAAAATTAGTAAGAGTTATTATTGTTTGGATTAATTAACAATTATGAC